AAAAAAAAAAAAAAAAAAAAAATCTGTATGATTTATACTGAGTCCACTCGGAATGTTCTAATCCCAACGAATCTGCAACTATTAATAGAACTATTATTATATGACTTCAGCAAGGTCCCCAATTACTAGACTAATGTATACTAATAAGATATCACCAGAAAATCTTCACTATATAGGCTAGGTACAGTGGATTACATCTGTAATCTCATCACTTTGGGAAGCCAAGACAGGAGTATCATTTGAGGCCAGGAGTCCAGGAGGCTGAGGTGGGAGGATCACTTGAGCCCAGAAGTTTGAGGTTACAGCAAACTCTGATCAGGATATGACATTCCCAGGCTGGGCAACAGAGTAGAAAGAAATAGAGAAGAAAGAAGAGAAAGAGAAGGGGAGGAAGAGAGAGGAGAGAAAAGAATCCTAGCTATACAGACTATATAAAATTATATAAAACCTATATAAAGTTTCTCTTTTGTTTACAAAATCAATAGCTTTTAAATTATAAACAGTCTCAGTCCTTACAGGAGCCATATGAATTTACCAATGACAGGCAGAACCTAGTTTGTGGGTAAAACCATTAGAGAAGACTAAGTAATAAAATCACAGTATAAAAGTACAGTTGAGACCAGAACATAGCAATTTGAGTTTCAAAATTTAGCGGGATGTAAACTTCAGATTACTATACACTATCATTCCAATTAATACATGTGCTGAAGATCAGCAGAGCATCTACATCTGGGCATAAGCAGCTGAAATTGGCCAGTGTGTACCTGGACGCCGTTCTCCCACTGGCCAGTGTACTCTTCATTGGTTGTCAGCCACCTCATCCTCCCTTCCCCATGGCGCATGTTGTCTTCCCACTGGCCTTCATATATATTTCCAGATTTGTAACTAAGACAAAAGAAACCAGTGAAAAACAACTGATTACCTCATACACAGCATTTACCTTCAAGACTTTCTTTTAACCTCCACCACCCACAACACCTTTGCACCCAGGCACTCCTCCCTGTATTTGAAATTCAATGGATAAGCGTGTGGTAGGTAAACATAACCAACTTAGGAAGAGAATAAATCACCTGATTAAACCTTCTGTCATTTAATAAGGTGACAAAGTGAATAAGGCTGGGGTTTTAAGACCTTTTAAAAGTAATTTCCTATCATGTTATAATTAGTTTTTATTTTGCCCCCAAATGTTTTAGTGCTTAAAATATGTGACTCCATTAGTTTAATCTAATATCAAGCAAAAAAACAGTTTGGTGGGAAAGACTGGTACTCTCTGGCTGCCAGCTCCTCTTCAAAAAAAAAAAAAAAGAAAAGAAAATCAAGCAAGCAAGCAAATATGTCAACATTGTTCAGAAAATATATAATACTAGAGATCCACAATTAATATATAAAACAAAAAAAGGCAACTTCTACATATAATAAAGTCAAGTCGGGTCCAGTGGCTCACACGAGAAATCCTAGCACTTTGGGAGGATCGCTTGAGGTCAGGAGTGTTAAGACCAGCCTGAGCAAGAGTGAGACTCCATCTCTACAAAATACAGAAAAACTAGCCAGGCATGGTGGCAGGTGCCTGTCGTCCCAGTTACTTGAGAAGCTGAGGCAAAAGGATGGCTTAAACCCAAGAGTTTGAGGTTGCTGTGAGCTGTGACACCAGAGCACTCTATACAGGACGACAGAATCAGAGTCTGTCTCAAAAAAAAATAAATACAAAATACAAAATGAATAAATAAAGTGAAAGAGTATGAGTAGATATCATTTAACAAGGTAGTTTTCTAAATCTTCCATAGAATATAATCACTATGGAGATTATATTGGGATTAATTTAAATATTCCACACTGTTTTGAGAAACAATGTGTTCTCAGAGATTTTTGCACCTTGTATTTAAATAGCCAAAGTGTATGTTTTTGGGGACCACACACACTTTTTCACCCATACTCAAATGTAGCAGTGGTCATACCTACCATCTTATTCCCCAGCCCTTTCTGATGTTGTGTTCCCAGTCTCCCTCGTACCAAGAGGTACCCTCCTGATTATAATAAATGGAGCCCTAAAACAAATAAGATTAAAAAAAAATCAAACCTCATGACACAAATGCTTTGTTAAATGTACAGAAAAACATATATGAATTTAAGAAGTATAAACTATGCAGAAGTCAATGACATATGTAGGCAAGAAACATAATCTATTATGTTTCTGTTTTACAATCAATAAAATGATAAAGTGGCTCATGGCTATAATCCTAGCACTCTGGGAGCTGAGGGGGGTGGATTGCCTGAGCTCACAGGCTCAAGACCAGCCTGAGCAAGAGTGAGACCCTGCCTCTAAAAGTAGCCAGGCAGGTGTCTGTAGTTCCAGCTACCTGAGAGGCTGAGGCAAGAAAAGCACTTGAGGCCAAGAGTCTGAGGTTGCTGTGAGCTGTGACACTACAGCACTCTACCAGAGGCCACAGAGACTCTGTATCAGAAAAAAAGAAGAAGCAGAAGAAAATGATAAAATATCCACACCAAAGGAGAATGAGATGTCACAAGTCAATTACTCCTCAATAACCAAATGCCATGGCCAGGCACAGTGGCTCACCCATGTAATCCCAGCACTTTGGGAGGCTGAAATCGAAGAACACCTGAAGCCAGGAGTTTGAGACCAGCCTGGACAACATAGTGAGACCCTATCTCCACAAAAATTTTAAAAATCAAAAAAAAACTGATTCAATGAATGATGACATTCATTATATTCAGTTATATTCACTATATTCAGTAACTATTAGTGAAATAAATATCTAAAGAAATCCTTTCCTTTTTCTTTTTGTTTGTTTTTATAATACCAACCATAAGAAAAATTCAAAGAAATCCTGTCCTGTTGCCACCTAGGGTGAATAGCTGCACCTTCCTTGAACTAAAGGTCTCTTTCTCTTATGTACCCAAACTTTTTTTAAAAAATTATTTTAGAGACAAAGTATCACTATGTTGCCCAGGCTGGAGTGCAGTGGCTATTCACAGGTGTAGTCAAATGATCCTCCTGCCTCAGCCTCCATCAGGGAAGCTGGGATTACAGGTGCACACTATATTTTTCCTCATTGTCAGGCTAACTTGTTCCTTCTTACAGCCATCCAGCTGCTGGCATTTAGAAGTCACAATTCCCAGCCCCTCCAATATATCTCAAGGGATGTGCTGTGAGAAAAACAAACAAAAAAATCCACACCACAATGGAACAGTCTGATAAAGCCTGAGTAAAGCAGGGGAGAGTTCATGGTAAGGGATCATGGTGAAGCCTAAGCAGTCTTCCCCTGGAGGTGGGTGTGAGGGAAGGTCCGGGTGCTAACCATGTGGCCCAATTACTCTCTCCTAACTCTCTTGGCCAGTATCCACCAAGGAAGAAGGCTGCACTAGATTTCTAATTCTCTTTTGAACTTTGAAATGCAGATATTCTTTAAGGCACAGACTTTGGAAGTCCACCTTGGTTTGTCTGAAGCCTTTGGCTGATGTCCAGGGACTCTGGCGTGTATCTCATGAAAGGACTTCTCATTCTGGTTTTATCCTGTACAGTGGTTCCACTTATAAGAGAATCAGCAAAAGACCAGGGCTCTTCAGAAGCAGACAGAGCTGAGATTAAACTGTCTGTGCTGTTCAGATTAAAAGAGTTCCAGAGCCAGAATCTCAGAGATTTCTCTTTCAAGGTTGGTGGCAAATCTGTCTCTCCCTGTGCATCACTTCTTCCTAGAGCACTACTTGAGTAAGGCACTGATTACTGTGGATATTCTGAATAGTGCACTGGACGCCGTAGGTTTGGAAATAAATTAGGGCATTTATCTTATCTTAGAAGGCAGTCATAAATTATTTACAAAAAGAAAAAAAGGAGTCCCCACTTGTTTAAGAACCCATATATGAATACTGTACAATGCTGGGCCTAATGCCAAGTGACATATTCTAGCCTGCTATAATACTCAACCAGAGATGATCATAATGGAGGATTTTTCATGACATTGTCTAAAACTACAAATTTTTAAAATTCCAATTAATTGCTACATTATTTTATCATCCTACACAAAAGCAAAACAGAACTACCAAAAATAGCCACCTTGGTTAGAAGTGAATATACCCTGCATTGCTGGTGGAGATAGAATATGGTACAGCCATTGTGGAGAACAGTTTGGTGGGTCCTCAAAAAGTTACACATAAACTTACAATATGACCCAGCAATTCCACTTCTGGACATATACCCCAAAGAACTGAAACAAGGACTCAAATAGATCCTTGTAAACATATTTATACCAGCACTATTTATAATAGTCAAAAGATGGAAACAACCCAAATGTCCATCAACCTAAACTATAGTAAATACTAACAATGGAGTATTATTCACCCATATAAGGAAAGGAAATACTGATAACTTTATTTGATTTCATGGTTGAACCTCTAAAATACTCTGCTAAGTAAAAGAATACAGACATAAAAGGTTGCATATTATATGATTCCATTTATATAAAATGTCCAGAATAGGTAAACCCATAAGACAGAAGACAGATCTGTGGTTGCAGGGGATGTGGCGTGAGTGGGGATAACTGCCTTATGGGTATGGGGTTTTATTCTGAACTGATGAAGCATTTGGGACTAAATAGTAGTGATGGCTGTGTAACGTTGTGAATGTACTAAAGACCATTGAATCGTACCCTTTAAAATGGTGACTTCTGTGTGATGTGAAGTTTACCTTTCAATAAGCAAACAGCCAATACATCCTCAAGAGCACCCCACCCTCTGTGTCTGTTCCTCCTTTCCCAGGTGGGACCCTGCCAAGTGGCTGCCTCACTCACCTTCCCATGTCTCTTGCCATGGCACCAGTGGCCGATGTAGGACACCGGCTGAGTGCTGCACTTGAACATGCCAAAGCCGTGCCTCAGGCCGTTCCTCACTTCACCTTCATACATGCTGCCATCTGGCCAGGTGAACATGCCGTGGTTCATAGGAATGTTCTTCACAAATTCCCCCTGGGGTAAAATGGCCAGAAGGTGACAGAAGGCAGTGGAGGGATCCTTAATCTTGGGGGCTGCTTGAGACATCTCTTGACCGCTGATACTGTTCTTGGCTCTCCTCCGGGGAAACAGTGGAACTCCCACTTGTTCCCTTCTCCATTTTTCTCTGCATCTCCCATCCTCTCTCTCCCAACCCCTTCACTGGGTGGAAGCTCAGGCAGAAAAAAATATCAGGAAGGTCACCTATAGACTAAGTTCCAAGAAGCAAGCAGGTGACATGGTAAAGTGGTTCCTTCCAGTGCTGACCTTGGGAACTTCAGACTCTTGGAACCTGCCTCCCAGGAAGCTAATTCACTGTACTCTCCAGGAGATCCTGATGATTATCTAGACTTAGTGTTCTTAGTGGAATAAGAACTCCTTGGAGGTAGCTGGTCCACGGAGAAAAGGGGAGACGGTACAACCTGGCTTGGTCGTAAGGCCTCAGCTGCCTTCCCTGAGGATGCTTCTGGGAAAGTCCCCAGAATCCTGCCCATAAACCTTCCTGATGGGGTTGGTACAGGGGCCTGTATCTGCAAAAATGCCCCCTCCCCAAGAGTTTCCAGACACAATGGAGAAGAGAGGACTCCTGGAAAATTGCCATTCAGGGACCAGAAACCCTGAACCTCGGCCACAGGCTAAACTGCAAGATGTTAAGTGGGAAAGTCTGGCCTTCAACTGTCGTTGGTACCCAACCCTCAGGTTCCCCTGGACCTTGGCAGGTCTCTCCCCTACCCTCTACAGTGAGGGCCAACCCCTCCTGCACTCTCCCTGCACCTCTGCTACAGGCCACCTGCTGTCCAGGTCTAGTTAGCTGCTTTCCCGGGCCACAGTTGCCTCTGTTTCCATCACTGCCTGGCTGTTATTTGAATAAGTGTGTTATGTGCATGTGTTTGAAATGTCTTCATTACCACTTATAAACACCATCTGTTAGTAACTCTGTAATTGAGATTTTTAGAATAGCATTTCAGGCCCTCACACAATTTGTGGGTGGGAGTTGAAACTGGTACAATCTCTTAGGAGCAATTTGATCCCAGCAATCAATTTAAAAATACACATTCCCCTCAACCCAGCAAGATGTGTGAAGTGAAATCCACATTATGGAATGCATGCAGCCAGTATATAGTTAGATCTGAGTGAATGGAAATGGTTCAATCTCTAAAAAATAAAGGTACCAACTAACTATATGTGTTTATAAAAAGTAGGAGGGGCTAAGTACAGGTATACATACACTCAGAACACATAGATTACCTCCAGAATATACAGATGAATATCGAATAGCAATCACGAATTACTATAACCTTTGGTTCTGTGAATATTTTTTCAACCCATGTGCTGAATTACTTTTATGATAACAGTATGTTTAATTGTGGGAACCTGACCTTAAATTCCATAGTTACAGTTTAGAACTATATTATTATATGCTTTACCTCATATTTTAATCCACTGGCCCAAATATAAGTTCCTTGTCCATGCATGAGTCCTTCTGAAAACATACCCTTCAAGACAAAATAAAACAACAAACACTAAGAATGCACTGTTGATTTTTTTTTTTTTTTTTTGAGACAGGGTCTC